CACAGGATATGTAACGTACGAGAAACGGAAACGTACCGGACAGAACGGACGTCGAACGTACATCCAACGGACGAGTACCGCATAAAACGGATACCTAACGGAAGAGTACCGGATAAAACGGATGAACAAGATAAGCGGAAAATTAAAAGCGATAATAATAATACATATCTTTCAGGACTAAGCAATGATATTGGCCACCATCTCCTTTGTTTTCTAGTTCTTCTCCTTTCGACAACTAGTAGGTTTATATTTGCAACATTTAAGTTCAGTCGGACCTGAATAAGAGCTGCTTGAAAGTGAAGACATGCTCTTACTCCAAGATCCATCCTGAGTAATAGACGTTCACTCAAGAAATCTGACATATCAATAATTGTCATTTCTGAGTGATGAAGAAATTTTCAATTGGCATTTATCCGTTTTACATTCGGTAGGTATCCGTTATCCTTCCGTTCATGTCCGTTTCCCATCCGTTCATCATCCGTTTTATCCGTTATGCGTCCGGTAGAAGTCCGTTGGTGAATTTGTCTACCGGACCTCTAACGGATGTATAACGGACAAGTAACGGATACAAAACGGAAACGAAACGGACGAGTACCGTACAAAACGGACGCCTACCGGACGTTCAACGGACACTTCATCCGTTGGACGTACGTTCAAAGTTTGAACATGCTCAAAATTTTCCACCGTACAGAACGGACGTCGACGGATAAAACGGACGCTAAACGGACATGAAACGGATATGGACGGACGTCTAACGGATTGGGACGGACATGAACGGATTGAAAAAAAGTTATCCGTTCGGCATCCGTTCGAGCTATCCGTTAAGGTGTGACTGAGGCTTAACAAATACCCACCAGTTAATAATTTACATTTCATTAGGAACTATCATTTGTTTTTTTGCTTTTTTTTTCCCTTCACTTTTTTTTTAATTTTTTTATTGTCCCTCGCGTAACGCGTTGCGGGGGACATGGAAATACCGGGCGTCCGTCCGTCCGTCCGTGTGTCCGTCCGTATGTCCGTCCAGTCTTGTTAGTGCTCTCACGGGTACAATTCTTGCCAGATTTGTATAAAACTTATACTATAGGTTAATATTAGCAAAATTCTGGGACAAGTTTTATAATGGTGGCCGATCGACTTTTTTTTTAAAAGAGTTATGCCCTTTGGAAATATAAAATATATGCAACGCGGGGGACATTGGAACTCTATTCTTTTATTTTTATAAATATAGATAGATTCTACCACTGCATCGAGTGTGATACGATATTTATCCACTCGAGACAGTTATTTTTAAATATTTAAAATTTAACTGTCGAAAGTGGATAAATATCGTATTACACGAGATTTGGTGGTGGAATCAGTTTCTTTAATGTTTTTTTATACAATATGCAAGTAAACTTATTCTTACTTTTCAAATGTTCTGAAAAAGATGTGTTCTTTCTATGTGACGTCATCAGGCATGGTCGCCTTTTTTCGTGACGTCAAAATAGGAAATTCAGAGGAAAGCAAGAAAACTTGATGTCATAATCGAATTGTGACCAATGAATAGCTGAGATCACACCACGCGTTGATTAAATAAAATGAATCAACAGGCTAAGAAAATGGCAAATCGGGTAAGAATTAGAGAAATATTCATATACATTGTATATACTTTATAGTAACACAGTCAACCCTGTTCGCCACAGTTTCATATAATTACTCGCCAAAATGTAATACTAAAACTATATTAAGGAATGAATGTATATACATATATCTATGTTATATGAAGTTAAGGTTCAATTACTATATAAGTAAGCCGCCTACCAAAACCAATAACAATAACAACAACAATGTAATAAATTACCAGTCTCGTTAACTTACGTTATTGATCTGTTTTTAGTTCCCCAAAAGTTATATATTTGTAGTTAGCTCTGCTCGCTGATTTTCGGAGTCACGTATAAGGCTGACTGTGATGAACTTGCACATGGTTTGTGGTTTCATGTTGATCGATGAAGACTTTTAACCACTATCTACGGAATTATTAAAACCATTCTTTCTTAATAAAAGTTTAGTCTTTCGATTTTCTTGACTTCATTTGATATTGACATATTTCAAATAGAACTGACAGAAAAAATAAGGTATAATAAGCCATGTATCAGTTTAAATAAAAGCATCATGGTGATAAGAAATCAAAAGAGGAAAAAAACAGTATTCTAAAAAAATACACTGATAAATTGAAACTGCATCACGAGCACCACAAAAACAATTTTAAACATATGCAAAAATGGTTCACCCATTTCGCTGCAGTTAAAAACCGAGTGAAATTTGACATGGTATGAAAATTCTTAACCTATATATGAAAGTAGGAAGAAATTATGGCTTTGACATATAGAACATATCCGTTGTCATCTATATGACATAGCTATCGTAACAATGTAATTGACTGAAAGTTTCCGAATGGAACCTCACGTTCGCCGAAAATTAGAATTTTCTGACCTGAATGATAGCTGAATCGATGTGTCATTGATAAGATGGAAAAATCAGGAAGAAAATGAGAGAGAGAAGCGAAAGATACGAAAGGGAAATTCAAACTCATAAATCGAAAATAAACTGACAACGTCATGGCTGAAAAAGAAAACGACCAACAGACAAACAATAGTACACAAAACACAACATAGAAAACTAAAGACTGAGCAACACGAACCCCTCTAAAAACTGGGGGTGATCTCAGGTGCTCCAGTTGATTAAGCAAATCCTGCTCCACATGTGGCACCCGTCGTGTTGCTCATGTTAATACAAACCCGATAATAAGTATAATTCGGTAGGTCATATTCGGGGAAAAGGGGGACGGGATTGTAGTTACGACATTATCAACATCCGCTATCATATGTGAAACGGATATTCCATAACGGTCAACCAACTCGTTATGCCGTCCGTAAAATTTACGAAGGGATGATTTCAACTTCACCACTTGGAACTCTTGGTTTGATAGCTTCCTTTTGAGCAGCAACCCTCTATCAAGGAAATCATGATAGGAAATACAAGCCCTGGATTGTCGTATCAACTGGGAGATATATATTCCGTATGCAGGCGCTGCTGGAATGTTGCTACATAGGAATGGAAAGTTCACAATTTGGAAGCTGAAATCATTTCTTTTGTCGTAAAGTTTTGTTTTCAACCGACCCTCATTGTTAATTTCTAGATGTAAGTAAAAATACGAGGCAGACTTAACTGTATCTGTTGTATCCTTTATCTCAATTTCAATGGAATAGATGCGTTTAGCATAGTCACCGAATTTTGAATTATTCAGTGAGAAAAAATCATCTATATAGCGTAAAGTAAAGTTAAAGGATACTGCTAACTTCTTTTCTTTTTTCCTAAGAAGTTCCTGTATGAAGTCAGCCTCATATGAATAAAGGAACAAGAAGAGGGGCACAGTTGATTCCCATTGGGATGCCGACTGTTTGTTGAAAAACATGTCCTCCAAACGTAACAAATAAGTTGTCAATCAAGAAATCAAGCATCTTGATAATGTCAAATTCAGAGAATTTTTTGTTTGAATCAGGCTGTTTTTTTTTTTACAAAATAGGATTTATCCCTCCCTGAGACAAGATCTACGTTGGCCATTCTTTTTTATGAAACAAAACAGGACCAACTCTTTCAATTTGTCTTTTAGTTTGGAATGGGGAATACTTGTGTAAAGTGTAGAAAAGTCAAATGTTTTAATGCTATTGCAAGATGAAAGAGTCTTAGATTGTATGTATTCTAAAATATCTTTGGATCTTTTTTAGAATCCGCATCTGATTCACGCCATCTCTAGAGTAGGTAGTTTCACAAATAACGTTAAAGCCCGGCTTTGATTGCTGATAAAATTGATGTTAATAATTTAATTTAGAAAGAGGTTTCGTAGAGCACTTGGAAGACCCAACAATATAACGTTGTTTGTAAGGACACTTATGTGGTTTAGGTATCCAATACAGTGATGAAAGATCCAGTTCTTCATCTTTGTTTGAAATTCCAAAGGAACATAGAACAGGTTATATGGTAACATAGAAATAATTTTGATATATTTCAAGAAGGGTGAACAATTCAAAATGGCATCTATGATTTATTTTGGATTTTTTCGGTATACGGATATGGATAGTAATTGTACATTGCTAGAAAACAAAGACATATTTATGTCGACGTTAAATGCATTAATAATGTTATACAGTTAACAGGAAATACAAAATAAAAAAAAAACAAGCACTGATTAAATTTAATTTACTCTGCTGAATAAACTCATCATAGATAGATACCAGATTAAAATTTGTATGTCATACGCACGTTTCGTCAAATTTGTATGTCAGACGCGCGTTTCGTCAAATTTGTACATCAGACGCGCGTTTCGTCAAATTTTTACGCCAGACGCGCGTTTCGTCAAATTTGTACGCCAGACGCGCGTTTCCTCTACGAAAGATGCATCAGTGACACTTGAATCAAAAAGTTATGCCAACTCAAGAACGAAGTTGAAAAGCATTAAGAACCAAAATTCAGAAACGTTTGCCAAATAAAGCTAAGGTAATCTATTCATGGGATAGAAAATCCTTAATATTTCGAAAAAATCAAATTTTTGTAAATATGCAACCGTCCGAGTTCCTGTTGGTTTAGGTAATTCAAAAAGATATACTTTCCTGATTTATAGATATTTTTAACTCTTGTTTTATAAAGTTAACAAAACTTGTATATAAATTTAAATTACAACAAATCTTGCATTGTCCTAAGGAATGTGACCTCCTTTGTTTAATGGAAAGTATAATGTACGATGACACATAGTTATCAATTTCATTTGTATTTCAAACTTTTTTATCTAATTTTACAATGATCAATTTTCATTTGTATTTCAAACTTTTTATCGAATTTAACAATGAATTATACGTCATTGATCACTTGTCACTGGTTAATTATATACAGACAAATATGATAGAAAGGGGAATCATTAAAGCATACCTGTTTTTGTACGTAGCCTCATTACCTGTCTTCGTACGTATCACGGTAGACATGGTCTCATCTGTGCTCCGATGGAGTATTTTTATATCGATATTCTCGTCCGTTTGCTGTTTAAGACGAGATTATTTTATAACTGCTGAGGAACAATGGTGGGACTATGCCCCGAGTAAACAGAACCTTGTAACAAACGACAGAACGTATGTATAAAACCCTGATAGCTTGATCAGCTTAATTGTAGTATATTTTTAAGCTGTAAATAGTCTTTTTCATGTACTGTTAAACTGTAGGTCGTTTCAAATTAATATTTGTTTCATGTCTCCTTAACAGCATTTTTACTTTAATTTATTTATTCTGCATAAGCGAGCTTTATTTCATTCTTTTTAAAGCATAATATTTCGACAAACAGATAATGACAAAACGACTAAGGTTATCCAGATAATCGAAGCAGCCAGTATTGTTAAAGTCTAAAATCTTTTCGAAAACTTTGAATAGTAGTAGTTAAACTCCTATATGTTGGGCCAAACAAAATAAAACATGTGTGTGCTTGTGTTTCCTCTTTCATTTTCATTTGTACGTAGTGATTACCTATATCGTTACATTTCCAGTTTATTAACAGGTGTTCGTAAAAAGCTTTATTCTGACTGAGGAGTATACTTTCGTATGTTCATAAAATCATAAGAGAGGCAAAAGATACCAAAAGGACATATCAGATATTAAGATCTATCAAAGAAATGATAATTAATCATTAAAAACCAATTGTTCAGAGAACAATTGAAGGTCTATGCATATCAATTTTCTAAATAATTGACAAGAAGCTACTTCCGGTTTACTAAAAGTTACTTTTGGCGTCTGATCATAGGTTTCTTTATACTTATTCAAAAACTATATGGTTTCTATATACTTTTGATTGAAATAAGGGAGATAATTGCCCACTTCCGGTTTAGAAAATGTCACGTCCGGTCTCATATGATAGCTGTTTTTAAACTGATTCCAAAAATATATGGTTTATATGTACTTTTGCCTGTAAAAAGGGAGAACACTGGCTACTTCCGGTTTAGAAAATGTCACTTCCAGTCTCAAATGATAGCTTTATTCACACTGATTCCAAAAAATATATAGTTTGTTTGTACTTATGCCTGTAATAAGGGAGATAATTTGGTACGTCCGGTTATAGAATGTCACTTCCGGTCTCAAATGATAGGTTTATGTATGCCAATTTAAAAAATATATGGATTCTACGTACTTTTCCATGAAATAAGTGTAAACATGAATACTTCAGGTTCACTCAAAGTCACTTCCGGTTGACACTTTCCCAGGTCATATGTCACCAACATTTGCAAAAGACCTTATGGCTTTATCATGTACCAATCTGAAGTAATAATCAATTTACCTTAAAATAAAACATTTCAGGGGCAATAACTCCTATAAGATTCCATTGGATTGTTTCAGAACAAATATATCATATCTTCATCACTATGAAGCAAACATTTTGCACTTGTTCTTTTATATATAACTTTAAAAGTGTCAGAGAAAATGCAAAAAAAAAAAGCAAAAGTCAAAATTGAGAACATGACCTTTGACCATGAACTCATTTCCTTAGTTAGGACCCAAGGCCCTCAACTAAAAAGACCCTAGGTTTATACGGCTTACGGTGTATGAGTTACAAAATCATAACGACAAATTTATTTGATAAAGGTAGATAACTCCTATAGATTTCACCAAATCACTTCGATCCAAATCAGCAAAATATTTCTGATGTAACGAACAAATATGAAAAATAACCTTGTCGTTATCTTTTTTATTGAAGGAGGAGATACATTTACAAGGAAAACAGTGTTTGGGGAGATAACTCTTGCAATAAAAAAAAATTTCGGCTTAACAAGATGAGTTTTGAAAGCAGAATAACCGTTGATATACTATCCAAAAATATCTAAGCAACATCTTGCGAAATAACTTTATACCACAAGAAAAGGGTTTGGCAGAAGAAGAAAAAAAAATTAAAAACCAAATTTTCAAAGAACAATTTAAGGTCTTTCCACTTCAATTTTCTAAATAATTGATAAGAAGCTACTTCTGGTTTACTTAAAGTTACTTTTGGCGTCCAATCATAGGATTATTCATAATGATTCATTAAATATATGGTTTCTGTATTCTTTTGCCTGAAATAAAGGAGATTAAGAAAATGTCACTTCCGGTCTCAAAAGATGCACATTAAAAACATATATGGTTTCTAGGTACTTTTTCATAAAAAAAGGTGCAACCATGACTACTTCTGGTTCACTCAAGGTCACTTTCGGTTGATATTTTTCAAGGTCACTTATGGCTTTATCATGTACCAATCTGAAGTAATAACCAATTTACCTTAAAATAAAATATTTGAGGGGCAATACCTCCTATAAAATGTTACCGGATTGTTTCAGACCAAATGTTTGCTATCTTCATCGCAATATAGCAAACATTTTGCACTAGATCTTTTATAGATAACGTTAAAAATATCTGAGAAAATGCAAATACAAGCAAAAGACAAAATTGAGGACAAGACTTTGACCTTTGACCTTGACCTCATTTTCTAATTTAGGACCCAAGGACCTCAAATAAAAAGACTAGGTTTATACTGCTTACGGTTTATGAGTTACAAAAACATAACGACAAATTTATTTGGTAAAGGTAGATAACTCCTATAAGATTTCAACGGATTGCTTCGATCCAAATCAGCCAAAAATTCCTGAGGATGTAACAAACTAATATGAAAAAGAATTTTGTCGTTATCATTTTTGTTTATGGAGAAGATACAATAACAGTATAAACAGTGTTTAGGGGTATAACGCTTACAATAAAAAAGTCTGTGGAAATAAATATGACAGGATTTTTTTTCCTTTTCTTGTATACATTGTTATGGGACCAGCCAGAGAAAAATATGAAAAGAATAAAAGTTAACATGGTTCCATGGGCAGTATCATTTATAAATGAACATGAATCAAACACCATGTCTGCCTACTAGGGAAAGTCTTTTCTTTTCTCTTTCTCGTTACACATTGTCTGTCCCCTGCCATCATTATAAACTCAACTGTTCAAAGGGATTGACAGCCGTTTTTGTTGCACGAACACGATTCGGTACAACATTAGCGAGAGCGTTTTTTACAACAATAGCTGTATTGGGTTTAGCAGCTTACACTCTAAAATTGTTAGTCAATTCACCGACAGATACTGTCTGTCTAGACTGGAACGATTCTGACGTTTGGTCTAAAGAAGTTGAGTAAAATACGTCAGCTTCTTATATTTTTCGACTATAGATTCATCATGATGTTCTTGCAAAAGGTTCATCATATCGAAATTATCCAGAATCGATGTCGTTATTTCTTTTGCGTCCATGCAAGGTTTTATTTTTATCACATTTCGCATATTTGACAGCTAATACAGGGCAAGGTTGTCGACAAGTCTAGCTGCGGAACTGTAACTCTAATGGTCTTAATCATATTTTCTAATTTGTGCGGATGGTCCACATATTACCAAATTACCTATGTGATACGGTTCCGCAGCTACGACAAGCCATATAAAAAGAAGATGTGGTATGCTTGCCAATGAGACAACTCTCCACAATAGACCAAATGACACAGAAATTAACAGATATAGGTCAGCGTATGGCCTTCAGCAATGGAGCAAAGCACATACCGCATGCTTGTTTATTTACAATATTGGTTCTTGATACGCTTTACTTATGCGTATTCGTCGTAACTATCAAACGTTTTGAAGATCAATAGTATTCTAAACAAATAATCGAATCAGGAAAGACCGAAAAATCCGGACTTTTTAAATTTCTTTTTGTAGTCGTCAATAAAATGTTAAGGGTCAGCGTCGGAAACGGAGGTAGGGTCGGGAAACCGGAAACACACAATTAATTTATTTTGGCCTGAGTTTGAATGTCTCTTTGATATCTTTCTCCTCTCTTTTAAATGCACCAAATCATTTGACTACTGTTATGGAAAAGTTTAATGAACAAAAGGGAACTCATGGAAAATATAAAGAAAAAATAACATTGCTCTATCAATTGACTTATCGTATGGGTGCTTCATGATTCTGTGTTGATTATTTATCAATGTCACGACCCGGTAAACGTCGACAAAAAACTCGACAGTTAATTAGCTTGCGATCAACAATCACTGAATGAAATATTATTTGTCGAATACACGCTTTAGAATCGTTATAAATGCAAGAAAACTTGCATGCTTTAGTTCAATATTAAATGTCCTAAACATTATATTTTCAAGAATCTCGTTTCATATAACTTTAAGATCACAAACGGCATTTTCTTTTTTTTTTAAATTCTATATAATTTTATTTGAAATGTACATTTGTTAGAGAAACATAAAGAACCGATACCTTATCCCGGCCTCGTTAACGTTAGTATATATCATTTCAGTTATAAGGTTAGTACTTGTTAGTACACCATATACAGTTTTGCTAATAAATAATGTGTAACAGAATAAAAAGAAATTGATATGATATATTCTTAATTTATGAAGATAAGTTAATTTTTTCTGCAACCAAATTGTAGAAGTTTTTATATTTTTCTTGTGTATTTGTCAATATTTCGTAATGTTGGAGAAGTTCATTTTTAAAAATTTCAAACACATTAATTTGTTTTGTTTTCTGCTCGGATATATAATATACTTTATATATAGTAAACAGTATGATATTTAGAAAATCGTTAATATTGTAATAATTTGTATCGTTTATCTTGTATCCATACAAAAGTGATGCAAGTGATAATTTAAATTCGGAGTCGGTAGCGACTTTTGTTTTAATTGATTCTTCTTTTATTAGCTCTTGTAACCACTGTTTTGGTATTGCTTTCATCATATTATTTTTTTCCGAAAACCAATTAGCATGGCAACATAGTTTATCTAAAATCTTATTTTGATTAATTTTTTCCTTTATCATCAATTATGTCATTTACAAACAAAATTTTACTGTTTATCCAATTTTTAAAAATAAGACATTTACCATTTAATTTGATATGCTAATTGCCTGATATTAGTTGCTGTCTGATATGTTTATATGTTAGTCGATCTGATTCTTTTTCAGATTTTGAATTTATCCATGATATGCTTATTTTTAAGTAAAATTCTGGAACAATTTATTTAGGTTTATTAATCAAATTAATATTGTTAAAGTCCATTTTTAATATAAGGAATTC